CACGGAGCTTGCTTAAGATTCTCTCTCTCCCTCTGCCCACCCCCTCTAAAAAAAAACAAAACAAAACAACAACAACAACACATATACCAGGTCCTGTTGTTGAGGACCGTGGATATTCATCTAATTCTCAAGCACCCCTGTGACATGGGTATCATCCCCATTTTACAGGACATACAGCTAAGATCGCAGAGCTAGATATGAACACTGGTCTGTCCCTAACCCAGGCTGTATGTGTGTTATATTCCACACAAAAATAGTCAGTGGCCACGGCAAGATTTGAACCAAAGTCTGTGGACTCCCAGATTGTGAGATATAATTATTTAATTATACACTATTTATAATTAAGTTTATGATTTATAATTAAATTGACTTAACAAAATGATATACATAATTTTTAATGATGTACTTACTACATGTTGGCTAATTGAACTTAATAAAAAAATAATGATATACATAATTTTTAATTGGTGGGGAACAGAGATATGTAAAGGACAAAGTAAACAAAAACAGAGAGAAACAAAAAGGAGAAAAGAAGGCATGCACTTGAAGACAAAGACCAGGATACAGAAACTGAGAAGGAAGGCCAGTGAGAATCAGAGAAAAGAGAAGCAAAGACAGAGTGAGAGAGGTTGACGGAACCACAAAACTTCCTTTAGCTTGGAATCTCCATGAGAGCAGGGATTTTGTCTGTTTTGTTTTTACTACACCCTCAACACTTAGAGTAGGACATGGCACTCAGTAGGTGCTCAATGTATGCTGACAGGAAACTAGCCTGGACAAGCAGGTGCCTGCAGTTCCCAAAGCCACCATTAGGTGGAAGTATCCCATGCCCTGAAGCCTCCAAATGCCTAAATCCAAAAGACCAGCCGTGGTGGATTTGCCTCCACAAGCCTCTGACTTACATGAAGGATGTCTTCCTCCTGGCTCAGCCCCGCCTTTCCCTGCACAAGCCCCGGGGCGACGAGTGACCTTTCCGCCTGAGACACCCTCCTCACTCCCCTCCACTACCCTGCCCAGTTAAACAACCCTTTGTCCTTAGCCCCTTCTGGCTGGGCCCCAAGGCACCTGGGTCGTTTCCAGGCCCGGAGATGGGGATGGGATGAAGGTGGGGCAGCTGGGACAAGGCCAAGGAAAAGTCCCAGGGACTTTGGAATCAGTTCTTCTAGGCTTCCTGGACCAGGAGTGTGTGATCCAGCCCCTTCCTCCCTCACACCCCCAGCCCCAAGAGTCCAGCCCCATACCCCCTCCTCCCTCAGACTCAGAGTCCAGTCCCATAACCCTTCCTCCCTCAGACCCAGGAGTCTAGGCCTCAACCCCCTCCTCCCTCAGACCCAGGAGTCCAGGAACCCAGGCCCTCCTCCCTCAGACCCAGAGTCCAGTCCCATACCCCCTCCACCCTCAGACCCAGGAGTCCAGGCCCCAGCCCCCTCCTCCCTCAGACCCAGGAGTCCAGGCCCCAACTCCCTCCTCCCTCAGACCCAGGAGCCCAGGCCCCCAGCCCCCTCCTCCCTCAGACCCAGGAGCCCAGGCCCCCAGCCCCTCCTCCCTCAGACCCAGGAGCCCAGGCCCCCAGCCCCTCCTCCCTCAGACCCAGGAGCCCAGGCCCCCAGCCCCTCCTCCCTCAGACCCAGGAGCCCAGGCCCCCAGCCCCTCCTCCCTCAGACCCAGGATCCCAGGCCCCCAGCCCCTCCTCCCTCAGACCCAGGAGCCCAGGCCCCCAGCCCCTCCTCCCTCAGACCCAAGAGCCCACGCCCCCCAGCCCTTCCTCCCTCAGACTCAGGAGTCCTGCCCCTAATTCCCTCCTCCCTCAGACTCAGGAGTCAGGACCCCCAGCCCCTCCTCCCTCAGACCCAGGAGTCCACACCCCTAGCCCCTTCCTCCCTCAGACCCAGGAGTCCACACCCCAGTCCCTCCTCCCCTCAAAGTCCCATGCAGCAGCCCACCCCCTCCTCCGAGGGGGGCAACCTAGGCAGAGAGGTCTTCTGGTATTCCTCCTCCCTCTTTTTTACAGAGACCCCTCTCCCTCTCCACTCCCCCCTTCAGGGTTGGGACCGAGGGCTGAGTCACAGGAAGCTCTGGGGCCCTGAGTCACCCCCACCCCCTGGCTCAGCCCCTCCCTGGGCTGGAGGGAGCTGGCTCTGGAGCTGTGTGTCCTACCGACTGACCCCCACATCCCAGAACTTCCGTTCGGAGGCAAGTGCCTTTCCCACTGTGACCCCATTGCTGCCCACCCTGTTCCTCTCCCATGGCCGCCTTCGCTCAGTTTTTCTCTCTTAGTTGTGGTCTCTTTGGAGACGAAATTTCTGTCTGCTCTAACTTCCATGTCCTGATCCGGGCGTCTGCTTTCCCTTCACCTCCATGTCTCCTCTCTCCACCTCTTTGATTTTTTTCAAATTCTCTCCCCCTCTCCGTCTCTTTCCCCGCCTGGCTGGACCCCTGGGGGTCTCTCTGATTGCTCCCCCCCACCCCCGCCCCATCAGTTTTCACTAGGCCCCGCACTGAGGATCGGCGGCGCAGGGGCTGGGGCTGGAGGTCTCCGTTCCGAGGCCTCTGACTCGGGCAGCCACAGCCTGTGTCTCTGGCCTCTTGCCCCTGAGTGGGGCTGGTGGAACCCGAAAGGGCAAGGCTGCCCCCAGCTGCGCTGGTGGATGGAAGAGAGGAACTGAGGCAGAGACAAGCATGGAGAGGTCCAGAGAGAGAGGCAGAACCAGAGACAGAGAGAGGCCCAAAGGGAGGTCGGGAGGCAGGGAGACAGGGAGACAGAGAAACTGAGTCACAGGCAGAGACACAGAGATGGAGACAGAGGGATGGTGACAGGGAGAAAGCATGAAATAGAGAAAGAGGGGGACACAAAGATGGAGACAGAGACAGAGATGCTAAGAGAGGCACAGAGACACAAAGAGGCTGAGAGACACAGAACCAGAGAGAGAGAAATGGCAACAGACACATGGATGGAGAGAGTGTGAGATACTGAGAGACAGAGCCGGAAGAGACAGAGGTCAAGAAACAGGGGAGAGGACAGGAGAGACAGGGAAAGGCAGAAACAGAGCCTTCCAGAGCAGGAGAGACTGAGGGAGGAGCCCGAGGTAAGGCCCGAGAACCCGAGGGAGGAGGAGAGGTGCAGAGAGACCCACACCTGGCCACAGGGGTGGCAGGCAGCAGGGGGCGCCCCCCGGCTGCAGCCTCAAGAGTGCCTGGCGGCAGCATTTGCTCCCAACGGGCACGTGCATGGTGTCTGGGTGTGTGCGGGTGTGTCCCCATCACTCTCCCCACTCTCCCGCCGCGTCTCACCCAGAGTGCGAATCACACGTGTGCCATGGAGCGGGCAGAGCACCAGCACGAGTGGTGTTTTTGTCACTGGGCGTGTCTGCGTGTGCGGTTTGGTGTCTCCGGGTGTGTCTGCGTGGGTTGTGTTGGTGCGTTGACAGTCATGTCTGTGCGTGAGTGTCTCGTTTCCCTGTGGCTGGCGCGTCCATGTTCCTGCATGACAGATGACACGCAAGGGAGAAGGGTTGTGTCTGTGAGTTCCCTCTAGAGTGGGACCCGCGGGGCCACCGGCTGTGTCTCGGAGGTCAATGTGTGCGAGGTGTTTTGTGTTACCAGGCCGGTGTCTCCCCAGGGTTTGGATCTGTTTCCCGATGTACGGGACACCGTATGTGCTGCTGCATGCAGTGACATTCCACGTTGCATGTCACTCTGGGAGTCGCAGTGCATCACCCTGCATTGCATTTGCTGTTCTGTATGTCACTGTGTGTCGTGTCTCTATGTGCATTGTGTGTGCAAAGGCGAGCTGTCATTCAGAGATGTGACCCTGTCTGTGTGTCACACCCAGGGGTGTGTCCACTTGGGGGGGGCTCTCCTTTCCCTGCCGAGAACACAGCCTGGGTGCCCACACTCAAGAGCACGCTGTGGTTTGTGTGGCTGTGTATTACACTGCACTGGAGGGTGTCCCCCGGGGTTGTGTGTGGTGTTGTTGGAGGCCTAGGTGTTGGCTGGGTCAGTGGGTCACACCTGATGTTTTATGTAATCCGTGGTGTTCAGAAAAGGTTGTGTTGGGAAAAACTATGGCAGTGTGTTTTCTGTCATTCTGTGTTTGTGCATTACTCTGCATATGCTGTGTTTGTGTGTTGGAATAGATGGTGTGCCGGGCTGTGGGTGGGTGTGGTTCGGATGTGACATGTCAGTCAGAGATGTTATATTTGGGCATCAGGGTCCATGTAGCTTGAGCCCCTCCTCAACCCCTGGAGTACCATTCTGGGTCGTGTCCCTGGGATGCACCAAAATATATCAGAATGTCTTACTTTGTGCTGTTTGGGTTTCTGTATGTGTTGCTGTGCATTGTGGGTCTCTACACGTGTCCGTTCACACTGTTCCGACCATATGTTTGAATGGCTCTGGGTGCTGGGGCGTGTTGTATGTCATGGTGAGTCTATATGTGCCGCGAATCGTTCTCCGAGCATATATACTTGACTTGCCATGTGCCACAATGTGTCTCCGCGTGCATTTCTCTATGTGCTGGGTGCTTGAGGGCTGCCATGGTATGTCCCCAAACGTTGTGTGTCTGCACATGTCGGCTACCATTCCACGGGTGTATCACGTTTGGGACGCTGTTAGTGCCTGGTCCACACAGGTATGTTGAGTGTGGCATGTGGACGTCACTAAGTAGAATGTTGTGTGTCCGCGGAACCATTGGGATGTGTTGTGCTAACGTAGCAATAGAGTCTGGGGGTGGCTGTTTGTGCAAGAGGACGTTGTACCAGTTACAGCTGCAGTTTTTGCGCCTGTGTGTGGACAGTTTGGGTGGTCATGGGCGCCACGGGGCACTGCCTGCCCTGCTGAGTGCCGGCATGTGTCACACCGTCTGTGTGGTGTCTGGGTGTGGCTGTGGGTTGCAGAGCTCATCGGGAGTTGTGAGTCACTCACTGTAGGTTGTGTTGTGTGCCCCATGTGTGTTCGGTTCCGTCTCCGGCCGTGCTGTGTGTGAGGGTTTATCCCCTGGTGTCTTGTGGTGTCTGGGTGTGGCTGAGTTTAGGTGTGTGTTACAAAGCGCAGACCGTTGTGTGTGACGCAATCTATTGTGAGCCAGTATGTGTCTTTACCCACGTGGATGCACGCCTCTTCCTTGCTCTGCCCCAAGACACATCCCAGTCCCTCCTTAGGCTGAGAAGGGAGGTTGGGGAGCCTCCCCTCTGCCCAAGGGCCACGCCAGCTCCTCCCTGCCCTGCCCAGCCGTCACCACCCCCAGAGGGCACAGACTCCTCTGTGCCTCAAAGCAAGAGCCCCAGAGCGAGGAGCAGAGCAGGCCGAGGACCTGCAAGCCACAGTGGCTGCCCTTTGTGTGCTGCGAGGTGGGGGACCCTGGGCAGGAAGCTGGCTGAGCCCCAAGACCGCAGGGGCCATGGGCGGGGAGCTGGTGCCAGGCCTGGGGGCCCTACAGAGGCGCAAGCGGCTGCTGGAGCAGGAGAAGTGGCTGGCTGGCTGGGCCCTAGCGCTGGCGGGAATTGGCATCGGACTCATGGTACTCCACGCGGAGATGCTCTGGTTCGGAGGGTGCCCGGTGAGTGGACCTCTTATCCTGGGCCATGGGAGGCTGGGGGCTGAGACTCCTGGGTCTGAGGGAGCAGGGGCTGGAGGTCTGGAGTCCTAAGGCTGAGGGGGGAGGACCTGGGGGCCTGAACCCCTAAATCTGAGGGAGGAGGAGCTAGGGGTCTAGACTGCTGGGTCTGAAGGAGGAGAGGGCTGAGGTTCTGGATTCCTGGGACCCAAGGGAGGTAAATGCTCAGGGCTCTCTCTGCAAAAGGAAAGGAACAGGGGTCACAGTGCCTCAGTCTTTGAAGGTTTGCAATGGGACAGCTGGAGGTCCAGGACCCCCTGTGGCTGATCAGATCCTCTAGTCTCCCAAGAACAGATCAGGGGAGAGGTAGCCTCGTGTTCAGTGAAGGGAGGGTGGGGAGAAAGATTAACTTCTTCCAAGTGGGCGGCAGCTCCTTGGTCCTTATCTAAACTCAGGTTTACCCAGTGCCTCAGCAGCGAAGGGCAGAGACCAAAAGAAACTGGCTGGGGTGGGGGTGGGGGGGGTGGGAAATGGAAAACAACCCCCTGCCCCTCCCATGTCCATCATTCCCAGCCTCCCCAGGGTCTGCAAGCTATTTAGTCTGGGGCATAGTGGAGAATAGGTGTACAGTGGCTTCGACTCCTAGGTCCCAGGGGAGGGGGCTGGGAGCCCAGGCTCCTAGGTCTGAAGGAGGCTTAGAGCGTCTTTGGGGGGAAGGGGGGCCTGAGGATAGTGTGAGTGGGGAGGAAAGGGACAGGTGGGGCCAGGACAGGTCTGAGCAGGCTCTCGGCACATTCCAGCCTCGGTCTGGGCAGCAATGGGGCAGATGGAGGACAGGGGTCAGAATCAGTGGATTAAGGACAGAACAGAATTGCTTAACCGGAAAGGAGGGGTTGGAGAACTGTCTAGGGTAAGGAATGTGGAATCGGGCTGGCTGGGGGGCGCTGACGTGAGGATTGAGTTGGGGGGCATTCCTGGAGGAGGGAAGCTCAGGCTTGGATTCGGGGACTGCGGAGGAGGAGGGCAGTTCCGAAGTGACCAGGGGCCACATGGAGGGTCAGGGCAGGCCGGCTTCCTCTGGCCGGGCAGCCGAGGCCAGGGCAGCAGGCACAGAGGGGGTGGGGCCGCCGAAGCCCATGCCAACAGGAAGCATGGCCAGGGCCTACCCGCCGCTCCCACGCTTCAGCACCCCGCCCAGCAGCGGAGGTGGGGACCTGAGCTCCTGGCAGATGGGAAGGGACAGGGGGTCTTTCCTACCCCACTCCCTCTCTCCCCCTTCTCACCTCTCATTTCTTCCTTCCCTCTGCCATTTGCCAGGCTGCTGCCTCCAGCCGCTGGACTCTGGGGAAGCTGCTGCAGCTTTCTGAGCCTCAGTTTCCCCATCTGTAAACTGGGGGTGAGGGGTGAGATACGTGGCCCTAGGGGCCCTCTTCAGCCCCCTTTCTACTTGTGCCTCGACGACATCCATGCCTCCTCCCCACCTCCATCTCAGTCTTAGGAGCTCATTTTGCAGGGACCCAGACACCTGCTCCCCAGCGGGGAGGGGCTGGATGGGAGGAAGTGGCCCAACTGCGGGGAGGGCAGGGGAAGAAGATGGAGATATCAGCAGGGGGAGGGGCGGAGAGAGACTGCGACTGAGAGACAGAGACACCGAGAGACAAAGGCGGTGTGAGACAGAGACGATGCAGGAAGGGAAAGAAGTACAGCCACAGAGAAAGAGCTCCCCAAGTTCAGATACACACAGAGATGGAAAGTCTGACAGAAACAGAGACAGACCCTTAGACATAAATAGAGATCGAAACAGAAGCAACCCCAGAGAAAGGGAAATTTCAGACTGAGTCAGGGATTTGGGAGAAGAGGAACCAGCCAAGTAGAGAGAAGTGGGGTGCAGCATGGGCAGGGGGTATGTCTAGTGGAGTGGAGTTCGGGACAAACTAAAGAAAGAGACAGGGAGCCAGGGAGCCTTAGAAGGATGAAGGGGTAGGGGAGGGCTAAGAACAACAGCACCATTGTTCGGGGAGGGCTGGGGGGGGCAGGCCCCCTGGGGCAGGAAACTGGCCCTCTTCCCCTGCACGGAGGTGGGGCCCTGGCCCTGCAGTGGGGAGCTGGCAGACATCTGTGGAGAAACAGGTGCTAAGCTCAGCATGGGAGCCCAGGTGGATCCTTCTCCCTGACAACACTCCTCACACAGGGACCCCTCCCCACTCCTCCTAGGGAATCCAGCAGTCCCAGTGCCCCCTAAACCTCTCCTTCCAAAATTCTAGATCTCTCCAAGGTATTGCCACACAAAGAGAGGGGAAAAAAAAATCTCTCCGTGGTTTTTGGAGGCCACATGCTTCCGGCCAGATCTGCCCTGGGCTTAGAGCCAGGAGAGAGGGCAGGGGGAAGGAGATGCAGGGGCCAGGGCCCCTGAGGGACCAAGTGCCCTGGATGGGGTGGGGAGTGGGAGGGTGTCATTCACTCCCTGGGTATTGGGTGATCATTTCTAGGCTCCTTGGGGAATTGGGAAGGTGGTAGGACCTTCTAGGGCAGGTTGCTTTCTCAGGCTGGACCAGCTGTGTGGTCAGGGAAGGGAAGGGGAGCTTTCTAGAGGCCAGATGTCTGTCTCTAGACCTCCCCACTCCCCCACCCCCTAACTGAGGAACATTTTTGGTGGGGAAGGGGATGGGGGAATTAAAAAGGGCTGTAGGTTGCAAGGTCTCCCCTCAGGTGTGGATCCTAGGAGAATGGCTGAAGAGGGTATATACTGGCATCTGAGCCAGGGCTGTCGGTCTGGGAAGGAAGAGGGCACTCTCCCTGGGGGCCAGATGATGGTTCTGAGAGTTCCCCCAAACTGAGACATCGGGTGGAATCAGGTTGGCGGGCAGGCGGGGAGAATAGGCAGGGAGGAATGGGTGGAGGAGGCCAGGAGACTGGGAATTGAGAAGGGATGGCATTGTGGGAGGAAGGTGGAAGGAACTGGCCAGTTGGGGACCTAGGATCTTACCCCTTTTTCTGTCCCTCCCAACAGTGGGCGCTCTACTTGTTCCTGGTTAAATGCATGATCAGCATTTCCACCTTCTTGCTCCTTTGTCTTATCGTGGCATTTCACGCCAAAGAGGTCCAGGTAGGGCAGGCCCCACCCCTGGGCCCCTTCCTTGCTCCCCCCAGCCCCCACCACTCCCTGTCAGCTCACACTTTCCACCCTCCTCCTCCTCCTGGTCTGAGTAATGAGGTTTCTCCACCCTGAGATTTGTCCACACCCTTACCCACCAAGATGAGAATAACCACAGACAGACAGCCTGAGCCTCCTGGAGCAACCCAGTCCCATGCTCCACCTGCAGCCCTGTCTCCCCATGCATGCCCATGGATGCTGAGAGCTCCCACCCCCAGGCAGCCTCACTCCAGGCCCAGCCCCCCAGACCTCTGTCCTCCATCCCTGAGGCCCCACCTATTCTAGTCCCAAGCAATCTGAAATCCAGGCTATGCGCCTGAGGGCCCTTCCCTACTCCTGGGCTCCCCACCTCTGTGCCAATTACCCCCTATACCCGGGGTGGGGGGGGGTCTTCCCACCCACTGCCCCTCTCCCATGTCATGTCCCACCCACTCAACTCTCCACCCGAGCTCTCCCCTCATCCCATCCCCCACATCCCTAGATCCTGTTGCCTTTACCCCTTCCCCTTTGTATATAAAATGGGGGTTTATCCATCATGTGTAGTAATTCCCCCTGCGGTGCCTGCTCTGTAAGAAGTACATGATAGTAGTCATTGAAACAGTTAAGTGGCCTGAATCTGCAGCTCAGCTGTGCTGCTACCCCAAAGAGACCTGGGCCTCAGTTTCTGTATCTGTAAAATGGGGGTAAAAAGGCTTTCAATTTCACTGTGTTCTGAGCATTCGCTGAGTCATAACATGCAAAGTAGATAGAGCAGTGCCTGGCCCGTTCAAAGTGCCCTGTAAATGTTCGCTATTGTCATTGCCATTGGTATATGCAGTTTTCAGTTAGTTACTACCCCTGCCCCCAGAAACAGGAGGAGATGGCTCCCTGCATCTGGACTATAAGCTCCGGGGAGGAAGGGCTTTCTGCTCTGTGCACCTGTATCTTCAATATATAGAACAATGTGGGGTACACAGTTAATTCTGGAAGTGGGCTGAGACTGAGCGGGAGGGGGTGAGGAAGGAAGTGGAGAGATGTCCTCCTCAAGGCCCTGCCCCACTCCTTCCCCACCCGCCCCCGGGGCCAGATGGGCACGCCCCCGCTTATCTCCCGGTTCTGGCAGGCCGGGCGGCTGCCTGACCTTCGTATGGCCCCCCCCCCCCCCCCCCCGTCTGTCCCCTCCCCGCAGTTGTTCATGACCGACAACGGGCTCCGGGACTGGCGCGTGGCGCTGACTGGGCGGCAGGCGGCGCAGATCGTGCTGGAGCTGGCCGTGTGCGGGCTGCACCCAGCGCCGGTGCGTGGTCCGCCGTGCGCCCAGGGTTTGGGGTCCCGGCCCATGGCGACGCAGTCCTGGCCGGGCTTCCTGGATGAGGGCGAGGCGCTGCTGTCATTGGCCATGCTGCTGCGCCTCTACCTGGTGCCCCGCGCCGTCCTCCTGCGCAGCGGCGTCTTGCTCAACGCGTCCTACCGCAGCATCGGTGCCCTCAACCAGGTCCGCTTCCGCCACTGGTTCGTGGCCAAGCTGTACATGAACACGCACCCCGGCCGCCTGCTGCTCTGCCTCACGCTTGGCCTCTGGCTCACCACCGCCTGGGTGCTGTCGGTGGCCGAGAGGTGAGGGTGCTGGGGGTGAGCGGTGGGGGGGTCCCTAGAGCATCTGGAGGAGCCGTTCACAGCCACAGCTGCCATGGGCAGTGGTACAGCTTGGGCCCCTTTGGGGCAAAGCAGAGGAGAAAGCTGCTTGTCCACACTCATCCACTGGGGTGGGAGGAACCAACGGGCCAGCTCTGCCCTTCCTCCACCTGCTGCCTCCAGTCTCCCCAGACACACACAGACCCTAGCAAGCCCTTCCTTTCCTGCCTCCACACCTGTCCTGCCTCAGGTCTCGGGGCAACTGTTCAGTCTCTAAAGCCAGGTACTGGGGCCCAGCCAAAGGTTGCAACTGCCTCCTTGGAGGATGGTGACACCTTTTCTGAATTAGCACAGATGCCCTGTAGGTGCTCCCCATGATCCTGGGGCAGTGGTGATTTGGGGCTGCTCTGGAAGGGAACTTCCTGCAGGGAATGGATACGGGATTCCAGGCTGCCTGCTGGACAGACTGGAAGCCGGGCCTCAAGTTCTCTCTTACAGATAAAGAAAGTGATGGTAATCTTAGCCAGTGGGTCTTAAAGTATGGTTCCAGGACTGGCAGCATCACCTGTGAACCTACTGCAAATCCAAATTCTCAGGCCCCACCCACACCTACCAAATTCAAAACTCTGGCAGGTGGGGACCCGGCAATCTGTTTTAACAGGGGATTCTGACCCAGGCTCAAGTTCGGAAACCTCTGGTTTGGTACATGTGGCAAAGAATTTTTTTTTTTTTAAGATTTTATTTATTTATTTGACAGAGAGACACAGCTAGAGGGAACACAAGCAGGGGGAGTGGGAGAGGGAGAAGCAGGCTCCCGGCTGAGCAGGGAGCCCGATGCAGGGCTTGATCCCAGGACTCTGGGATCATGACCTGAGCCGAAGGCAGATGCTTAACGACTGAGCCACCCAGGTGCCCCTGGCAAAGGATTCTTGAGGGGAAGTGGGGAGTGACAAGAACTGGCTTTAGATCCTTCTTCTCTGACCCTCTGTTTCCTCATCTGTAAAAGGGGTGTCACATTTCACCATCTTTGAAGTCTCCACAGCAATTCTTATCTCTCATGATTTTAAACTCATTTATTTTGTAGGATCTGTTTTCCTCCCACCATGTTTCTCATCTGAAAAATGGGAGGGTGGGCAGGGGGTCAAATTTCTAAACCCCAAGGCAGAAGTTCCTCAAACCTGAATGTACTTCTGGATGAGGGGAGCAGGGCCTAACAGTGCAAATTCAGTCCCCACCTCCAGATATTAGTAGAGTGGGTCTGACATGTCTGGGGCCTCATGAATGAAGCTTTCCCTGCTGACCCTGATGCAAGGGTCTGCGGGCTCAAGTTTAGAAACATGAGGATTTTCAGTCCCTTCCGTGGCTGTAACTAAATGTCCCCTTCTCTGAAGTGAGGGGAAGGGAGGGCAGGGTCCTGCCTTTTTAGTCTTGACAGGGCCACCTGTAGGCCATAGAGCATCTTTATGGACATTAGAAAAAAGCACCCCTGGCTGGCCTAATCAGTGGAGCGTGCGACTCTTGATCTCGGGGTTCTGAGTTTGAGCCCCACGTTGAGTGTAGAGATTACTTTAAAAAAATAATAGAATCTTTAAAAAAAAAAAAAAAGACGAAGAGAAAAAGTCACCCCTTCACTCTGGGTGGATACAGATTCTTGCCAGGGTGTGACAAGAGGACTTTGGGCTGGGTTTCTGCCCCCTCTCAACCCCTCAACCTGCTCTGAAAGCAACAGTCCTGGGAGCCCAGCTAAAACCAAACAGGCTTTGGAATTGGCTGGATCCAGGTTCAAATCCCACAGCCCAGCTCACACAGCTGAGAGGAAGCCAGGCAGGCCCTCCAAAGCCCAGAACTTACTTTTTCTCTGAGTGCTTCTGGGGACTATAGGTGTGTTAGGAAGGAGAGTATCAGACATCACAGGAACCCCTGGGGTAGGGTTTCAGGACTAACCCATCCTTCCCCACAGGCAGGCCGTTAACGCCACCGGACACCTTTCAGACACACTGTGGCTGATCCCTATCACATTCCTGACGATTGGCTATGGGGATGTGGTGCCAGGCACCCTGTGGGGCAAGATTGTTTGTCTCTGCACTGGAGTCATGGTGAGTACAGCCCCCTCAGGGACCCTACCCCTACCCCCAACTGCTTATCTCCTGGGCCCAAAGAAATCATGGAGCCAACAAAGGCACTCAAGGCCACCACCCCCAAGAAACTTGGGTGTCTTGGTTTCCTTTCAAAATCCAGGAATCCATCCCCTAAGTCCTTGCTCTCTTTGGAACTTAGGACCCTAGACCCCACCATCCTCGGGAACACAGGCCCCTGACTTCCCAGCCCCATTTCCTTCCAGAATCCAGGAATCCAGCCCTGAGCCTCATGAAGGCTCAGACATCCTGCCCCTCACCCCCCTGCCCTCCCAATCATCTAGGACACAAGCCCCTGGTTCCCCAGCTCTAGGCTCCTCCAGGACCCAGGAACCCAGTCTCCAGCCTCCATTAAGGCTTCATCAAAAGCATGCCTGTGGGGTCAGGCTGCCTGGCTCAAGTCCTGCATCTGCCACTTCCCAGCCAGGATCAAGCCTATAATCTCCCAGTTTCCACAGCTATAAAATGGGGATGCTGATACTAGTGTACTCCTCATGGAGTTCCTGAGATGAATTAAACCACGTAAAGGGTCTCAGCACCCAGCACATAGGAAATGCTCGGTAAATGGGTCAAGGGGTGGGGGTGGGGGGAAGGCTGTTACTTGTAACTGGCCCCAAGCATCCAGCTGCCCCTACTCTTATCTAGCTCATGTCAGGGATGAAGCAGAGGCTCCCCAGAGTCGGCCTCCTCCTGAATCCAGACTTCTACCATGTTCCCTTCATAGACCCAGGCATCCAGTTGCCCCTACCTAGCCCCTATCCTCTTCCAGGACCCAGCACCCAAGGCCTTGGCCGTCACCTAGGCATGAGCTCTGGCTCCTCCCACCCTCAGGGACTCAGGCTGCCAGCCCCCAGCCCCAATGTTGTCGCAGAAAGGATACACTACATTTCCACTGGTGATGCATGGGGTGACGAGGAAGTGTGATCCCCTCCCCTCAGAAGTGGGAAAGAGGGGCAGAGATTCAGCCAGGGAAACACTCCCAAAGGGTCAGGGACCCTCAGGGCTGCCTGGGACCACCCCCCCCCCATTTGACACAAAGAGAAACAGATCCAAGAGAGATCAGGCGATTTGCACTTGAGCCCACAGCCCACCTCCTGGCAGGGAGGTGACCCCCACGATGGAATCATCATAACTAACTTTATTGAGTACATACTCTGTACCAGCCGCTGCTCTGAACACTTTCCGGGTGTTAGTTTAAGGAATCCACAGAATACTACTGTGAGGGCATGCCCATTTTACATGGAAGAAAGTGAGACCCTGAGAGATTAAGTAACGTGCTCAGAGCTGGGCTTGGAACACGAGCGGTCCTGGAGGCAGCGTTTGTGACTAGTAAACTGTTTAGAGTTTTCATGAGCTGAGACACAGCTTGGGAAAGGGGAACACTTCAGAAGAAAATTCACTGCAACTCAAGGAAGAGCAGCAGGTACCACCAAACAGCTGACGGATCAGAGGCCTAGGGAGAAGGGGAGAGTGTTCAGACCAAGATGCTCGGGCATGTGAGGCAGAATGAGGCCAGGCTGAGTTGTCTGGAGGAGAGGCCTAGAGCTCTGAAGGCTCTGAAAGCGAGGGTAAGAAGTTTGGGGCAGTGGGAGCCTAGATTAGGGTAAGGGGGCAGGGTCATAATTGTTAGATCTCCCTAGCGTCCAGGTCAGGAGAGGGGAAAGCTGGAGATGGTCCAGGAGGGAAGGGACAGGGCCAGAACTGGGCAGGAGCCATGGGGGTGGGAGGAAGGGGAAGGACACCTTTGGTGACCTGATGGCCAACTGAGTGTGAGCAGTGGGGAGGAAGGGCTCCTGCAGGAACCCGAGCTCTGCCTCTCACCCAGAATCAGCCCTTCTCCCCTTCTCCAATCACACCTTTAACGAAAGAGGGCATTCTGGTGGTATAAACACTACACACACAAGTGGGACTCAGACACATGACCTCTGATCCTAGCTCTACCCCTCGGGGCTGTGGGACCCCGGTTCCCCTCTCTGGGCCTGCTTGTCTGTCAACCAGGGGTGGTCTTGCCTGCCTTCTGTGGCTGTTGGGAGGGGTTGAGGGAGTCTGATGGCACAGCCCTCCCGTCATAGTGTCTGCTGTGCCCACAGGGGGTCTGCTGCACAGCCCTGCTGGTGGCCGTGGTGGCCCGGAAGCTGGAGTTTAATAAGGCAGAGAAGCACGTGCACAACTTCATGATGGACATCCAGTACACCAAAGAGGTGAGAATGGGCATATGGCACCCAGAGCACACGCCTCCCTCAGACCCGGGAGTCCAGGCGCTGTCCCCCTCGTCCCAGAGCCCTAGGGGTCTGCCTCCACTAACACTGTGCCCACCCCCAGATGAAGGAATCAGCTGCCCGAGTGCTGCAAGAGGCCTGGATGTTTTACAAACACACACGCAGGAAGGACCGTGGGGCCGCCCGCAAGCACCAGCGCAGGCTGCTGGCCGCCATCAACAGGTGAAGGCCTCTCTCTGTGCACATCTCCTCCTTTCTGCATGGTGTGTGTGAGCGAATGTGAGCGTGTGCCCAGGTCAGGACACCCGTGTTTGGGCTCACCGAACAGTGTCCACCCAGACCTCAGAGTGACTCTGTGATGGCTTGTCTTGCACATCTGTGTCTGTGGGTCCGTGCCACTCCGTGTGGGGGTCAGGATACCTAAGAGATGGGCTCAGGGGTGCTCTAGCTCTGGCAACTCTTCCTCACCAGACCGCGTCTATGTGAGTCTCTCCTCTCCATATCCCATCCCCGAGCTGGGGTCACTTCTGATCTCCAGCTTCTTCCCACAGGTTCCGCCAGGTGCGGCTGAAACACAGAAAGCTCCGGGAACAAGTGAACTCCATGGTGGACATCTCCAAGGTACCGGGGCCCGTGGGAGGAGGGGTCTGGAAGAAAAGGGAGGTCGGGGCGGCTGGCAGGGACATCTGGCCCCAGCATAGCGAACACTGGCAGGGGTCTGGCGCACACACGTGCTTGACAAAGGGTTGTGGTTGAATGAATGATGTGATGGTTTCTTAAACTCATGGAAGGGACTGATACCTTTTAAGCTTAAAAAAAAAAAAAGAAACAGAAATTGCACAAAGAATTCCAGTGTTTGGTTTTACATTATTTTTATTGTCGAGTTAATGTGGACGGATATAAAATTCCTTCTAGGGGCACCTGGGTGGCTCAGTCGTTAAGCGTCTGCCTTGGGCTCGGGTCATGGTCCCAGAGTCCTGGGATCGAGCCCCACATCGGGCTCCCTGCTCGGTGGGAAGCCTGCTTCTCCCTCTCCTGCTCCCCCTGCTTGTGTTCCCTCTCTCGCTGTGTCTCTCTGTGTCAAATAAATAAATAAAATCTTTAAAAAAATAAATAAAATTCCTTCCAACTATGACTCTTAGACAACAATAAAACCAAAGCAAATATACAAAAACCAAGTTCAAACACAAATGGCAAAACCAATGAAACGCAAATTAACACCACTGACACAGACAGGGCACATTGTTTCAGTAAAAGTCAGTAAGAGGGGCCTAGAGCCACAGGGGCTTCTGTGCTGGGCAGGCTTGCCTGGCTGAGGCAGACTCAGCTTGCCCTTCTTCGGCTGGGACCACCTGATTCAGCCAGTGCTTGGGGATGGTGACGTCACATCCGTTCTCTTGGCTCACAGCACCTTCTGCTTATCAAGCAGCCTTTGCTTTTTCTCATTAGCCCAAGACAAATCAAACAGTGGCCGTTGGCATCAATACCATGGCAAGCACAGTCACAGATGTGGGCCCCTAAACTGCATGGCAGGTCTCAGTGAGGAGGTGGTGGCCTAGATCTGCCAGAATTGGCAGGTCATAATTTCTGAAGATTATCCAGCCAAAAACTGAGAATTAAAGAATTCTCATAGAAAGCTCACACACCCTCAGGGATGAAGCTGTGACTCCTAGTTTGAGAAGGTAACGAAAGGGCTATGTGGATTTTGAAGTCATTTATAAATTCCGCAAATACTAGGTGAGCACCTACCTTCTATGTACCAGGCTTTACTCTAGCTGCTGCCTTGGGCATGTCATTTAACTGCTCCAGGCCCGTTTCCACAGTTGTAAAAATGGGAATGGAATTCTCACTCCCCACGCTTTTAAGAGGATTTAAACCATGTGTGAAAAGCACCGAGCCAAGCGGCTGGGATAAGGAGGAAGACTACCTCAGGCTGCTGATACCTCCAACCCTCTCTCTGCCCAGATGCACATGATCCTGTGTGACTTGCAGCTGGGTCTGAGCAGCTCACATCAGGCCCTGGAGAAGCGGATGGATGCACTGGCAGGGAAGCTGGACACCCTGACTGAGCTGCTTAGCACTGCCCTGGGGTCGAGGCAGCTTCCAGAACCAAGCCAGGAGGCCACGTAGCTGGTGAGGCGGCTGGGACTCGGGCAGAAAAACATCCTGGAGAAAGGGTGCCTGTGGATAGCACCCCATGTGGCTAAAGGGGGAAGGGATGGCCTTGGAGACAATGCTCCTCTTTCTCTTCTGCTCTGCCTGTCTGGAGGAGAGGACTCTAAGTTTGGGGCTAGAATGGCAGGGGAGGAAGGAGACATTCCTTCTCCCCTTTGCTGACCCTCAATACCCTCTCCTTTTCTTTGTGTGGTCTGTCTGCCTGTCCCTGGACATGTTCCCGGCCTCTGTCCAAGTGCCCGGTCTCTTGGTGACAGGTACAGCCATGCTCTTCCTTCCTCCCTCCTCGATCCACTGGTGTCTGTCTGTCTCCACCGCAGTGTTCCTGCTCTTACTCTCCCTCTGGTTTCTGGCCTATCTATCCATCTCTCTGCTTGTCTCCCCAGGACCCATGGAGGAAGAACCAAGCCACTTTCCCCAAGACTGAGGTGGAGGACATTGTCCCTGCTACTCCTGACCCAGCCCTATGAATAAAGCACCTCAAGTGCAAGGACCAAAGGGGCCCCACCTTAGGGGGGGCTCACTCACTGATGGCTGCTGGAGGGGACACTGGCTCAAGGAGAAAGGCTGTGGCCACACACACACACCCAAACCTCTGCCCCAAATGGGAAAATGGTCACGACTACCCCATATACCCTGGACAAAACATCCTTACTATGCTGCTATGGATGACCTCCAGCTTTCAGTTAGAAGTGGAGGTGCCTGGGGGCTGACACTCCTGGGTCCCAGAGGAGGAGGGGGCTGAGACTCCTGGGTCCCAGAGTCCAGGATCCTGGGGTGCCTTAGTTACCACTGGATAGCGGAGCTAAAGGAACCAGGCCTGAGGCTGAGAGGTGGCAGGAGGGAGCGCCCCCTGGCGGGAGAGCAAGGAGGACACAGTTTTCCAGAGCTGCAGAGAATATCTGGTGGGGAGAAGGTGGGGCGGAGGGAGCACAGCTCACCAGTCTCTGCTCTTAACTTTGTAATAAATGTTCAACAAAGCCAGAAGCAGCTGCTGTTTCCTTCTAAACATATGTATATTCCCAACAGGCAGGTCATCAAGCGGAAGGCCCTTGTTCGGTCCACTTCCCCATTTACAAAGCAGACGCCTCCTCTAAGTCCCCTCCCGGCTCTGTAGGCCAAGACGTGCTCAACAGCCCCCACACCCCCCAGATCTGAGGCTAAGAGCAAGGGCTTCAAATCCAGGGTTTGGTTCAGGGTCCAAAGCCTAGCTCTGCCATCCACTGGCTGTGTGACTTTGGGCAAGTGGCTTCACCTCTCTGAACACTTTACCTCACCTCTAAGATGGGTTCCCATGGAACTGCTGTGAAGATGGAAACAGTGTGGCACAGAGGATCGGGTATTTTGTAAGAACCAAACACACAAGAGAGAGTTGATCATTTTTATTATTGCTATTGATTTTTAGACAACGCGTAGCGCTTTCTTCTGCTGCCCTTTCCCCCCCTACTCATCTCACCAGAACCTAGATGACTACTCAGCAAGAACCCCAAACCATCCCACATACTCATTTCAATATCTGCTAAAACTTAGACCAGAAAAGGGAAAGGGCTGGGACTTCTGGAGGTCCTACTGTGTGCTCCTTTCTGTAAATCACCACAACCACTTCCTGCCCTGCTCCACCCCACTGTAAAGATGCAGAAACTGAGGTTTCAAGAGGAGCCAGGTCTAGAGGCTGGGAATCTGGCTGCAGGCCCGATTCACACCCTGCCCGCCCTGTGGCTAAGCCCTCCTTCTGCCCTGTCTGAGGTGAGTCAGAGGCAGAGTGGCCTTGGACCTCCAACCGAGGTTTCACTTCCCCACAGCAGCTTCATTTTACTTGGAGAGGCTGATTCATCCTTGCTTCCTTCGATTTGCGGGGAAGCCCGGGCTGCGAGTCATCCTTTTCTGCTGAGCTATCTTTGGATTTCCCTCCAAATCCACAGCTAGCCTCATGCTTCAGCCCTGAGAGCTAAACTGGGGCTTGTACCACCCACTGCCACAGACTGCCCTTCCTCTGGACGCCAGCCCACCTGGGAGTAAAGGAGACAGGAACTAGATGGGATGTCTGATGACATTTCCAACACCCTCCCGCTGCAGGAAGCCCTCCTCACTGTGTTGCCAGACCCCCTACCAAACTCATTCCTCCTAGTCACACCCCACTGCCATCGGCACACTCCTTCAGGCCTCAGCTTGGATGTCCCCTTCTCTAGGAAGCCCTTTCTGAAGCTCTCACAGCCCCATGAATCTGTCTCTATCACAATATATTTTTTTAAGATTTTATTTATTTATTTGACAGAGAGAGCACAAGCAGGGGGAGTGGCAGAGGGAGAAGGAGAAGCAGGCCCCCTACTGAGCAGGGAGCCCGACCAGGGGCTTGATCCCAGTACCCTGGGATCAGGGCCTGAGCCGAGGGCAGATGCTTAACAGACTGAGCCACCCAGGCGCCCCTCTATCACTATATTTTTTGAGCCCAGCACCATGCTAAGTCCTTTATAGATGAATGACCTCACAAAATCTCTAAAAAGGAGGCAAAGTGGGTATTGTGGCTCTATTTTACATACGAGGTAACTGAGGCAGAGAGAGATTTAAGAAACCCGCCCACAGTCACAGCAGAGATGGGGGAGCTGGGATCTGACCCAGGCAGCCTGGCTCCAGAGCCCCCCACTTAGCCAACAGGCCCATCCAGAAACTCAAGAGATGATGGCACCATATTTTCATGTTTGTTCTCTACTGTGTCTTCAATGTCAAGGGCTGGCATATGCAGGGCCTCAGTGAAGATCACTGAATGAAAACACCGAATACCTGGGGTGGCCCAAACTCCACACCTTTTATCACAGTGGTTTCTGTGAGACAAGGTAGGAACTGGGTAGAAGGGGCTCTTCACTAAGAAACTAAGAGAACACATGAGAGGTCTCTTGCTCTGAAGTATCTTGCCCCCGCCTACCCGCACCCATTCCCCCAGGTGGGGCATCGGTCTTGAGACCCCGCCTTCCAGCAGTTTCTACACTTTCCCTCACAAAATCAGCACTTCCTGAAGGCCCTGCACCAGGGGCTAGGGCTGTAGGCATGAATCAGAGAGCTCTGTCAGGGGGTGTCTCACAGCGCTTTGGGCTTCTCCTCTCCCCTGCTTGTTTTGCCCCCACTCCCACGAGAGGACTGGACAGGGAAAAGAGGGCCCGGAGTGGGGTGGGGTGGGGGCTTATCAGGGTTAAAGAGCTAGTGAGGAAAGGGGCGCCTGGGTGGCTCAGTCGTTAAGCGTCTGCCTTCGGCTCAGGTCATGATCCCAGGGTCCTGGGATCGAGCCCCACATCGGGCTCCCTGCTCAGTGGGAGGCCTGCTTCTCCCTTTCCCACTGCTTGTGTTCCCTCTCGCACTGTCTCTCTGTCAAATAAATGAATAAAATCTTAAAAAAAAAAAAAAAAGAGCTAGTGAGGAACTGAGGCTGAGGCAGACCCTGGCCTCTCTCATGCACCCGCCTCCCCACACGCCAAGGACTCTCTCAACATTCAAATATGACTGGGTCTGGCCCTGGCCCAAAACTCTCCCGGGGCTGCCACCTGCCCTTCTGTCAAAGTCTAGCTCCTTAGCTCAGCTCATTTTTTTTTTAATCAAGAACCATTTTACATAAAGCACGCACATTTTAAATGCAGTCTTAATGAATTTTTACGAAATGATTCACCTCAGCAGCCACCACACAGATCAAGCTAGAAGTTTCCGGCCCCTTCAAAGCTCTCATGTCCCTCCCTACCCTCCTCCATCCTCAGTAACCACCATCCTGACCTCTTCTGCCCAACTCTGAACCCTGCTCTATATGCTAGTGTGTACTGGCTTCTTGGGCTCCACACAGTGACCACGAGATCCATCCAGGCCGCTCACTCTTTTTCACTGCAGAATAGTATTCCATTGTGTTACTACACCCACGGGTCTTGCCTGGGGGTGCTCTTCAGGCTCTGGCCCCACCCCTCCTCCAGCCTCCTCCGACCCCAGCCTGGCTGCTAATGATTCTGCATCCAATTCCAGTGTGTGGGTTTTTCCCCCCAGCACCAAGCAATTCTCAGACGCTGGCTGGGTGTCCTACACTTCAACTCAATTCCACACTGTCTACCTGGAGACAGTCAGATTCCACAGATTAAGAGCTCAATCCTAAAAGACTGCACCACCCCCCGCCCCCGCCAACCTTCAGACGCCAGTGGCAAGTCTTGGTTAACACCTGTGTTTCTGACCAACCAGCTACAGATCACAGGTTCCAATGAATTCCCCCTTGGTTTGGATTAATTTGCTAGAGCGGCTCACAGAACTCAGAGAAACACAGAAACATTTTACTTACTGGATTCCTCGTATATCATATATCAGTAATTATTATAAACCAGGATAAAACTCAGGAGGAGCCAGATGGAAGGGACACCCAGCTAAGGTATGGGGAAGGGTGGGAGCTACCAGACTCTCCAGGGGCACTGCTCTCCCCACATCTCCACGTGCCCACCAACCTGGAAGCTCTCGCAACCCTGTCCTTTTGGGTTTTTATTTATTTATTTTTTTGTCCTTTTGGGTTTTGATGGAGGCTTCATTACATAGTCATCATTAATTAAATTATTGGCCACTGGCAACTGCTCCAACCCCCTTCTCCCTTCCCCGAAGGCCAAGGGTTAGACCTGAGATTCTAACCTCTAATCACAAGGTTGGGTCCCTGGCAATAAGCCCCCAGCCCTAGGTTACCTACGTACTTTCCAAAAGCCGCCTCATTAACATCACAAAAGACACAGCTACCACTCTCACCACAGAAAATCCCAATGGTTTTAGGTGCTATGAGCCAGAAATGGGACGAATACCAAATATATTATAATAAATCGTGGTATCACAGCTGCTCCTGCCAGGGGGCTCCTCTTCCCCAACATTCCTTGTTCTACCTGCCCACCACTGTCCTCTTCCTCTTGCCGCATCCACTTAGAACAAACATTGCCAGCATTTACCCAGTTCTTC